ATACTGCATTGCACACGGAAAATACATGGGGAGCAGTGGCACAGAAAATCAAGAAAGCCTTTCCTGTGTGCTATTTCAATCTCTTTCTATTGAATACATGAAACACCCTGGCAGTGCCAACCAACACAAACAAACCAACAGAGCCAGCCTGTGAGAGCCAGTGGGAAGCATAAAGCTTTTCAGCCTCTGAGTCTTGTCCTCCCTGACTGTCATTCCATGTGTGGGATGGACATCTTCCCTCCTCTGGCTAACGAGAACTGTCCCTTCCCTGTCCCTGTGTACTGGCTCCCCATGTCCCTGCCTATTTGCACCTGGCTCACAGCTCAAAAAAGGGCAAGAAAGTCATTATGTGAACTCAGACCCAGGCAAACTCCGGCTCCTTCGGCAGTCTAATGGGCGTAGTGAGTAAATAGAAAATATGGTGGTATAAAAAGGATACAGTGCTGAGAAAAAGAAGCTGGAGTACTACAGAAAACCACAATTAATTATATTGGGTAAAGGACAATCTGTAGGCAACTCTGAGATGTGTCCCCAGATGACACTAAAATCCTAATAAATTTTTGGACTATCCTCTAGCCACCTGAGAGTGTCATGTTTTCTTAATAATAAGAAATTTTAAATACCTTTGGACATGTAGAGAATACTTTTTAAAAAGTATCCAAGCTATAAAAATTCTTTAAATTTTATATTAGGAAAAAAAAGCAAGTGAGCTGTGTTCAAATGGTTATGTGATGATGATCTACACTAGGGATGATCAACTCTAAAGGGTAGCTCGCCAAGATCCATCTGTTTGAACCCATCTCATTTGTTGCCACACTTCCCAAAAAGAGCTTCCTGCCATTTTCCAGACTTGTATCCTTTCATCTCTGATGACAGACCCAAATTGAGAGCAGCAAGGCATGGTAGCTTTTGAGTCAGACTTACCCAGATTCATATTAGCTATGTTGTCCCAAGTAAGTCATTTCATCTTTTTAAATCTTTGTTCCTCTTCTATAACAACATCACCAGCACCTAAAAAGAGGGTTATTGACAAAATTAAAAATAATGTATGTGGGCTGGGGCTGTAGCTCAGCGGCAGAGCGCTTGACTAGCATGCATGAGGCACTGGGTTCGATCCTCAGCGCCACATAAAAATAAACAAACAAAATAAAGGCATTCTGTCCATCTACAACTATAAAAAAATTTTAATAATGTATGCAAGAACATAGAGAAAGCAACCAATAAATGGTACCCATAGATGTGGTCTTTCAAGATTAAGTCAATGTAACAAAAGAACTGCCTTTATAGAATCTTCTAAGTTTCCCCGTAGGATGGAAAAGAAATAAGCTTTTCCTTCATGCCTCTTGTTATTCCCAACTTCCTGAATTTTCTTTTGGCAGACAATTTCAATGTTTGTGGCCAGTTACGTTTTAGGATTTATTCATCTGTTTCTTTTGCCAATAATTATGCAAAACAAGTATACGTGATTTTCACAATTGACAGTATCTGAAACATAATTAAATAACAACTTTTTCATGATGCTTAAAGTCAGTAAAATTTTCATATTGAACCCCAGAGTTGTTTCATGAAATAATTTGAATCTCTGCTTTGTCTTCTTGTATTTGATAAGTATGTTTTAAAGAAAAAATGGCCAAAGAACACATCAAAATTACTAAGAATATCAAACACATAGTGCTGTGTTTCATATTTGAGGAATGAAAAGAAAAAGAAGTGATGCCTCTAACATTCCCTTTTTCTGAGGAAAGAAGTTGTGAGGGAGAGGACACTTCTGGGCTGATGTGGCAGGTACAGCAGGCCATTAGTCTGGACTTACAAGTATGTCTAGAATTAACAGACCAGACCATGTGTCTACACTGGCAACTGGCTCATTATGGTGCTGCTGCTAATATAATCTTCTTGATTCCTGGAAAGTAAGAACCGTTAAGAACTTTTATAGTTTCTCTCTGGGTTGTTGAACTCCAGAGAGAATTCAGGACCCCAGTGTCCTAAAAAGAAGTAATCATTTACTTTGGGAGGAAAAAGTATCTTTCTCACATTCTAAGAAATCTTAGATTACATTTTCCCTTTGGCTGTGTAAACATGAAACACATTCTTAAAAGAACTATTTTATTTTCTTCTCAAATTTTTTCTCCTGTATAGCTTTATGCAGAAGCCCTAGCTTGCCTTAGTGACACCTAAGTGATATTTCAACCTAGCAATCTTTTTCCTTACTGAGTCATGTCTGGGGAAGAAATATTCAAATTGATTATTGTCTTATCCAGTTCCTTGATGGTAGTTTACCATACCTAAAGCCAATAAAACATTGATAGAATGGTAAAACTGAAGACGACTTCATGATTAAGTAACTCAAACTGTAAACAGCTTTTGCCAAGTAATAGTCTTTAGAAGGACAACTCAATAGGTTAGAGGGGGTAGACTGACATGCAAATATCCATCACATTTTATGAAGTAAATTAAAAATAGATTTAATCTTTAATATGTATCCCTACAGTATAAAATTTACTGGATTCAATTGCTGATTATGTGCTCAGCAGATTGGCTAATTACCTTAGGCAGATGCTTTATGCATATTAATGTGGTTTCTTATGACCATCATGTTCATCTTTGGTTCATAATGTAGCCTCCATTTAGAGTAACTGAATACAATAAGGGTGTTCACTTGAAATGTAATTGCAGGCAATTCCATATGAGGGTGAGACTGGTATTCTGGGAAGAACCCTGAACTATGGAATGGGAGCTTGGACCAGTTGTTTGCTTATCATAAATCATAACAGGCACATCTGCAGCAGAGGAATAGCATATGAATTGGAGGGGTCACTATTAATCATTATCAAGGGGAAAAGAGAGGAAAAATAGCTCCTTACACATATTTCCAAGGTAGCCCCCCACAAAAAATACTTGGAAGGTAAATGTTAATTTGATGGTTTAAAATACTGTAGAAAATTAAACAGATTGATGATCCCAAGAGTTGGAGATGATGGGGAGCAACTAGAATTCTCCTGGATTGCTGGTAGAAATAGAAAATGGTACAACCACTTTGGAAATCAGTTTTGGAATTTCTTAGAATGTTTGCCATGCATTTACAATATGATCCAATAACTCCAATCATGGATATTTTTATAAATGAATAAAAAGTACAAGTATATACACAGGCTTGAACATGAATGTTTATAACAGCTTTATTCATCATATCCCCATGCCTTAAAATGGAAGCAACCCAAATGCCTCCCCATGTAGAATGGATAAATGACATAACAATAAAAAATAATGAGCTGGTGATGCATCCAACAAAAAGATTGAAAACAGCAGGCCAAGCAAAAAAAGCCAGATCCACCAAGGGTGTAAACTCTATGCTTCCATTTCTGGAACCATGCCAAAACATCAGCCCACAGGGACAAAAAGCAAAGTAGTGGCTGTTTGAGCAGAAAGTTAGGGGGAATTGACTGCAAAGGACAAGGAGAACTTTGTGGAATGATAAGAAAGTTTTCTGTCTTGATTGTTGAGATTTCACAGGTACATTCATTTGACAAAACTCATGAAACTTATGTTTGAAATGGGTGTATTTTATTATGTGTGAATTATATCTCAATGAAACTCAATGAAATAATGAGCACGCACAGTGGGAAAGCAGTAATAAATGTGAAATTGAACCACCCAGGCTGGCTTTTAGATACACAGAAAATGATCCAAGATTGGTGTCTATTTTGTGGGTGGCCCTGCTGCTAAAGTTCAGGGCCTCAGCTAATTCTGCTCCCAGGCTGGCCACCTTTCATAAAAACCTTGCTGCACCTCTGTGAGTGTGATGATGAATCTAAGAGCACTTTATTAACCAAAAAGTCAACATGTATCCACTCAACAAAGGTGACCACTGCTAAGGCCACTTACCCACCTGCTTAGAGTCCTGGACTGCCCTAGTGCAATGTTTTTATAAGAACAATGCAGGATGGAGAGGGATCTCTCCAAGTGGCCCTAGAACTTGCAATCATCTTCCTTTCCTCTTTTCCTTCTTCTCCTGAGCTGAGCCACTCTTATTCTTCATAGCAATAGTCCTGCAATAACCAGTAAAGGAATAATGAATATACAAATATAAAGACAGCCTTTCTTGATGCACACAAAATATTAAAAATTAAAATTAATTCTTTCTTGTGACGTTGTGAGTATTAGCTCAGACCCTAGGACCAGACTTCATATGCCTATAGACATATGGCACCAATTGGATGAACCTATAAAATCCTTTAACCCCTCTGTGCCTCAGCTTCCTGTTTGTAGGTGAGGGGTTAAAATTGTACCAATACCACAGGCTGATGTGAGAATTAAATGAGAGAGGGCAGGAATGTCCCCAATACAGTGGCTGGCAAAACATAAGAAAGGAACAACTGAGAGCTGTGGGTGTTATGGAATATTTTCATCTTGACTCCCACAATTCTCTATTAATTTTCTATACAACATCAAAGAGCATTTTATCAACCCCACAGTAATCCATTCAGACTCTGGGATCTGGGAGAGCAGAAACTTTCCATATATGCTCAGCCTAAGTTAGAATTTTCCTCTAATTACCAGCTCCCTGAGACAAAATGATAGGGCATGGCCACATCTTTAAGTTCAAGTTTTGCATTTTGAATTAATTGTGTTACGTTTTATACATACATACTTGAGAAGCCTGTCAAGTGTGCTGCAATTGTAGAAACAGGAAGAGTCCAGCCATATGCCATGGCTGAGGAGTATAGAAAATTGGGTGCTCGAGCAAGCCAAATATGGAATTAATAATATATTTAGAATTACTAACAAAATACCTGTCAGGCAAGCAGCAACATATTATATAAAAATTTTTTTTAAATCCTGCCTGTGGTTGCAAGTCCTGTGCTCCTCCTAAGAAGAAGACTGTATATTCTTGGAAATAAAATGATTCAAGCCCAGTGAAACTTCTGTTTCTGGCATTTTACCCCCTAATTTTCCATTCATTTGTGTATTTTTTTTTTTTTTTACAATTCCTCGTGTAGCTCCACCAACCCTCCCAGACGTCAGTGGGTCAAGCAGCTGCCCAAGGCAATCTTCTGCACCTGGCTCACGGCCAAGCATCCATGTCTCAAAGTCCCGTCCGACAGGCTTCCTCTTCTTCCTCCTCATCCTCCTCTTCTTCAGCTTTGAGCGTGGGCCAGTTAGTCAGCAGTAAGTATCCTTTCTGGCTCGGTTTAAATCATGGTTGCTTTCTTCTGGCTTATTTGCAATCTCTCTCTCTCTCTCTCTCTCTCTCTCTCTCTCTCTCCTGCCCATTATTAAAATGTAGTCCTTGCCCAGGGCCAGATGGTGGGCATCAGGCCCCCAGAGCACCCCTAGATTAGTGCTTCGGGGGCCAGGCTCCATCCTAAGGTCTCCTGATGTGCTGAGTCAGTCTTGTCCCTCCAGCAGGTAGAAACTGATCAGCTTGCAGGGCATGAGCCACAAAGCTCAGAACTGAAATAACCAACAACAGGCACTCAGCCGGAGGGTCAAGCTGCTTTTCTGTGTGTTTGAAGTCTCCTGCCGTTCTGTTTGTAGGTGTCAGAGGAAATAAAAGAGAGCGTGCCTGTGGGCGGGTGGGTGTGTGTGCACAATGAGCCGCCTCCAGTGGCATGTGGCAGAAGCTGCATGGGCTGGAATCAAATGGGAAATCTCTGAACAACCATTCATAAAATAAAACAAGCCTGCAAGTCTCCCTCCCTGAGTTGGGTACTATATATAAAATTTTTAGAAATGGTATTTGTCCCCAGGTGAAGACAGCATATTTCTCACATGCAAATAGAAGTACGTTAAGATGAATGGGGTAATGGTCTCCTTAAATGTCATTTATTCACCTTTAGTACAATTTTTACTTATACATAAAGCAAAGAACACGTACACAGATTGCAATTTACCAGGAACAAAAAATCCAGCAGTTATGGGATTAAAGGGCTATAGTGTTATAAAGGCAACTGTGCCATAAAGTAAGACTACATGCAAGTGAGTATCTGTGCTTGGTCAAGGGTCAAGAATGACCTGTTATAACAGAATCAGTAGGATCCTCACATGCCGTGGGACAAATCTGGTAATGCAAAGTAGCCTCTCCAAAAAAGAAAATAATAATATATATTCAATTATATAGGTGATTTAGACCAGAAAGATGCTTTTTCAGTAACAGAGCTACTTAATAAGCCAGATGGGATTTCAATTGCCTGGTGGCCAGCGAAACATCTAAGTTCTAAGTAAATAGTGAGTGATCTGAAATATGAAGACCTGAGGTAGAGAGGCTTCTTCATCATATACTAGTGAAGAAAAAAACTCTAAACTTATACTCAGAGCCTGAATTAGGAGCCCATACTACCTCTAGAGTCTTCTCTGCATGAGAGTGTCTGGCAGTACCACTGGGAGTCAGACTTGGCACAAACCCATTGCTAAACTTATTACAATAGATATTGAGCTTGTTGTTTAGTTGTTGATCTTCTGTCTCAAAACCCATCAATAGAATGAATGGTAGAATGTATGTCTGATCTAGTTATTTATGGACCATATCCCTCTGGTTCAATATTTTGATATAATGACTCATAGAATTTGAGGAAACATGCTTACCAGTTCATTATAATGGATATGATCAAAGTTGTAGATGAAGTACACAAGGTGAGGTCTGAAAGGATCCTGAGTGCAGGAACTTCTGTCCCCATGGAGTTGGGGTATGCTACCTTCCCAGTACATGGATGTGTTCATCAATTCAGAACCTCTCTGAATCCTGTAGTTTATGAATTTTTATAAAAGGTTTCATCACACAGGCATCTTTGGTTATTAACTCAATCTCCAGCCCCTCTCCCCCAAATTTTCATCATAACTTGGTCTTTCTGATGATTAAACCCCATCTTGAACCTATCAGGATCCAACCAACAGTTACCTCATTAGAACAAAAGATGCTCCTGCCACCAAAGAAATTCCCAGGGATTTAGAGCTTTGCATCAGGAACTACAAAGTCTAAATGTTAGAACAAAAGATGCTCCTAGCACCCCTAGTAGTTAAGAAATTATGAGTCTTAGGAGGAACCAAGAACCAGGAACAAAGACCAAAAATATGTTGCATATTATTTTGCATTATCATAGAACCTTCAACTATCATAGTCAATGAGTACTCTGTGTCATTGTCAAAGACTCTCATCCTAGCATTCACCAACCTACCATATGCCAAAAAAAAAAAATCATGCAAATTTCTTATCGACTCCAGGCAAAGGAATGCCAAATTAATACCTTATCAATGAAAACAGGATCTTCATATGCAAAGACCACCACATCTGAGCTCAAATTACCAAATAAGTATTCTTGTTAGGACATCATGAAACCTATGCACCTTGGTCTCTGTTAAAATATGCTTAGTCTTCATAATTATCAGAGGTAGATATAATTTCTGTTAGCTGGATGTTCACAAAGTATAGAAGAAAACTCAAACAAATGTTGGAACATTTATTAACTTTACTATTTTTTAAAAAGGTGGGTTTGGGTTTGGGTTTTGATTATGTGCTGGTTTTTGTTTGGGGGGGAAGAGTTGGTGATTTGTTAATATACTTTTTAAAATTTGTTCTTTTTAGATATACATGACAGGAGAGTGTATTTTTAAAAATTATTTATATTTATTCTAATTTGTTATACATGACAGCAAAATGCATTTCAATTCATAGTACACATATAGAGCACAATTTTTCATGTCTCTGGTTATACACAAAGTAGAGTCATACCATTCATATCTTCATACATGTATTTAGGGTAATGATGTCCATCTCATTCCACCATCTTTCCTACCACCATGCCCCTTCCCTTCCCCTCCCTCCTCTTTGTCCTATCTAAAGTTCATCTATTCCTCCCATGCTCCCTCCATCCCCCTTATGGATCATGATCCACACATCAGAGAAAACATTCAGCCTTTGGTTTTGGGGGATTGGCTTATTTCACTTAGCATAATATTGTCCCACTCCATTCATGTACCTGCAAATGCCATGATTTTATTCTCTTTTTAATACTGAGTAATATTCCATTGTGTATATATGCCACAGTTTTTTTATCCATTCATCTACTGAAGGGCATCTAGGTTGGTTCCACAATTTAGCTATTGTGCTTCTATAAACATTGACATGGCTATGTCCCTGTAGTATGCTATTTTTTAAGTCTTTTGGGTATAGACTGAGGAGTGCGATAGCTGAATCAAATGGTGGTTCCATTCCAAGTTTTCCAAGGAATCCCCATACTGATTTCCATATTGGTTGCATCAATTTGCAGTCCCAAGAGCAATGTATGAGTGTGTCTTTCTCCCCACATCCTAGCCAACACTTATTGTTGTTTGTATTCTTAATAGCTGCCATTTTGACTGGCGTGATATGAAATCTTAAAGTAGTTTTGATTTGCATTTCTCTAATTGCTGAAGATGTTGAACATTTTTTCATATATTGTTGATTGATTGTATATCATCTTCTGAGAAGTGTCTGTTTGGTTCCTCAGCCCATTTATTGATTGGATTATTTTTTTTTAGTTAAGATTTTTGAGTTCTTTATATACCTTAGAGATTAGTGCTCTATCTGATGTGTATGTGGTAAAAATTTGCTCCCATTCTGTAGGCTCTCTATTCACCTCATAGATTGTTTCTTTTGCTGCAAAGAAGCTTTTTAGTTCGAATCCATCCCATTTATTGATTCTTGATTTTATTTCTTGCACTATAGGAGTCTTATTAAGGAAGTTGGGGCCTAATCTGACAGGATGAAGATTTGGGACTACTTTTTCTTTTGTTAGGAATAGTGTCTCTGATTTAATTTCTAGGTCCTTGACCCACTTTGAGTTGAGTTTTGTGTATGGTGAGAGATAGGGTCTTAATTTCATTTTGCTGCATTTGGATTTCCAGTTTTCCCAGCACCATTTGTTGAGGAGACTAGCTTTTTTCCAATATATGTTTTGGTCTAATATGACATAACTGTATATATGTGTATTTGTCTCTGTGTCCTCTATTCTGTACCATTGGTCTACAACTCTATTTTGGTGCCAATACCATGCCATTTTTATTACTATTGCTCTGTAGTATAGTGTAAGGTCTGGTATAGTGATGCCACCTGCTTCACTAGTAGAGTGTATTTTGACATATCGTACATACATGGAGTATAAATTTCCCTTCTTGAGGTTGTACATGACATGGAGTTTCACTGGTCATGTATTAATATATGAACATAAGAAAGTTGTGTCCAATTCATTCTACTGTCTCTCCTATTCCCTCCCCTTCCCTTCATTCCCCTTTGTCTAATACAAGTTAATATAATTTTTCTAAGCCTGTGGCTTGTAAGTTTGATCCTTGGACAGCAAAAAAACAGAAGCTAGCTCCAGAAAAACAAAAACCATGACATAAAGATGGTGAGAGCTTGCAGCATAGTGAAACTCCTGATTCATAATTCATTCCTTTTTCCACAACCCAGTAAAGTCAACATATCGCAAGCTTGCCGTTCTCTCAAACTGCTTTGCACATTCCCAAATGATTTCTTATTTTTTTTCAGAAATATTTGGTAAGTATTTCCATTATTTGCTGTGAGAGTAGCTCTAAAAAGCAGATGGGTATTTACATAAGATATTTTGATAAGACTTCTGGCAGCTTCTTTAAAGATGCATACATATTACTCCTATAATGAGTGGTCACAGAAAGTGGTCATAGATAGATGATGTTGATGCATTGGTGACTATTCAGCCTATTTAGCAACCCCTTACACAGGTACCCAGGCTAACAGCAGGAAGGAGCTAAATTTAAAAAGCAAAACTACCACCACCAAAAATGATCTATCCTGGTGCATCCTGAACACTCAGCTGGATATGAGCCCAGTGACCATGCACTAGATTCAACAAAACAGGTTTGTTTTCACATGCTTTACATTTAGTCTTCATTTAAAAAAAAACTCTTTACTTTTTAGTCCATGCATTCCAGATTTAATATAGGAAACATCATCATTATACTTTTGAGTCATTGCCAATTTTCAAGTCCAGTTTATCCTAAATCTCCAACCCAGTTAACCTCTTTACAAACTCAGGGCCATCACAGCTATTGCTTCTGGGCCTGTGTTTAATATATTGGACTGACTTAATCTGAAGCAAACTTCTATAAAAGGCACACTTCCTCCCCAGTCCAGAGAAACTCTAGACCAACTTGCACTAGACCTAATAAAAGGTGCCAAATCTGCCTTGTGGGGGATCTGAGAGTTCCAGCTATCCCAATCAAGGTGACCTCAGAGTCATCTTAAAAGTAACTCAACCTGCCCAGAGCCAGGAAAATGGAAGAGAGAAACCCAGGATGGTCTATCCTAGCATGGAATGTCAAACTATGAGCAAGGCTGAGAACTTAAGTAATATTCCAGGGAAGCCTCCAATGGCCATATTCACCTGTTATTTCCCCTCCTCAAACAGAAAGGCATTTATCCCTTAAGAAAGGGGAACTGTTCCAAGAGTGAAACAACCTCAAGTGTTTAAGACAACTTTTGAGATAAAAGAAATAATAGTATCAGTCTTTTTATTAGTTCCAAACATGTACACACCAGCTAAGGAATCCTTCCAATGTGTGAGCACAAGTCCCACATGTTATCATCAAGATAAAGCAAATATTTGTACAAGGGTGGACACTTTCTTTGGATGGAAAGATTTCTATAGTCTTGGAATCCATGGGGCAACCTATATAATACATTTTGCCATCCAAGTTTTATGGGTAGGAACATAATTTGAAGAAGGCTAAGCAACTCATCTCCAGCAATCAACAAATTGCACAAAGAGATGCTGAGTTTCCCCTCTTGGAGAGTTTGTCAGCAGACGATCACCCTGTATAAATTTCACAAGAATTCCTATCTTATCACCTAAGTTAAATCAGGAGAAAAGGCAAGAGTGGGAAATGTGTGAAAGGAGGAAGAAGGAATTCAGCTTCCTGATATAATAAATGTTTGTTGGAGCCTCATGGCTCACGGCTCAGGTGCCCACTTCTCCTTGAACTTCACAGTAAATGTTGGATCATCCACAGAAGACTGCTCAAGGCACAGAGAGCTCAGAATCCACAACTTTTCTTTTCCTTCTCTTCTTATTGTCCACCATCTTGCAAAAAAAGCAACCTACACAATTAAAGAAATTAGTTCCAAGTCACAAAGAACCAATAACAAAGACATAAACAATAAAGGCAGCAGGGGAAGAGAAGAAAGATGATAGGATGCATTTACATAAAATGGCTACCCAAATCATAAACTGGTCCTGCAGTGCACTGCTTAGTCTGGTGGCAGCACAGGCCCTGGGTCTGAAGCAGTCCAGAGAAATCCTTTCAGATTAAATACCAGTCCCTCATGGGCTAGGCACCTCAACGGATTCTAGTTGATCTAGAGATGGGGCCAATAAAAGCAGAAAGTTTATTTCCCACAAGGACTGTTTAGCTTTGCTCAGAGACAAAATCTCTCCCTGACCACAGACTTCATTGATACTCCCAGCCAGCTGACTCACAGATCTTTGCCACTTGCCAGGTGTGGCAGGGAGTCGGAAGGAAGGAGCAAGGAACCCCTACTCAGGAATCCCCCTCACCTGACCTGTCTGGCCTATCAGTCCTAGACAGGTGAGAGAGCAGGACTTCAGTGAAACCTGCTCAACAGTAACAATTAAGGGTTAGGAGAAACAATGGCACCAAGAGGATGCCACACCCTGACCTTGCAAACCAGAGAAAGATTTCTTCAAGTGAGTCAGCAGATCCCTGTCATCTACTGACACCTGTATATAGGACCTGTTAAAAATGCATCCTGAACCCCACTAGGTGGCTTTTTAAAACATTTTTTCTTGTAGTTAGACCCAATACCTTTATTTTATTTATTTAGTTTTATGTGGTACCAAGAATTGAACCCAGTGCCTCACACATGCTAAGCAAGCGCTCTACCACTGAGCCACAACCCCAGCCCACCAGGTGGCTCTTATGCTTGCCAAAGTAAGAAAACCACCTTCCTAAAAGCCATGCTGTTACAAGGAAAGTTTCTGGCTTCCCTCTGCCTTTTTTTTTTTTTTTTTAATTTCTGAACCTCCACTATCTACCCTTATAGAGCTGTCAAGCCCCTCTCTTCTCTTTCCTGACTGTACAGGCCTTTCCCACACTGTACCAGTTCTATACCAACTGACCCTCTCTGTTCTAAATCAAGGTTCCTCGATTGCTATGTTATTATTGCCCCACTACCCCTGCAAGGAAGCTTTGTAAACTTTTTTTATCCTAATAACCCTCCTTTCTCCTTTCTTCTGTTTATGTACTGTGGTCCTTTGGGGAGTCACAGCCATTGCACTAGCTAAGACTCCTTCTACCTCCTCCCCAGAACCCACCATGGGATGCATGTTCTAAATGTGGGGTCACAACATATTCTGGGCAGGTAGCAGGTGTGAAGAAGGATGGAGATGAGGACACTGAGGGGCTAAAGAGGCAATGAGAATCAGTCCTGGCAGTGTGAGCATTACCAACTGTAAATGGAAATCCAGTGCAGCCAAAAGAACATGGAAAATCCAGATTTTTCTTTAGAAATCAAAGTTTAAATATTGGCAAGTAATTCAAAAAATTTGCAAGTACTAGAAAAATGGGTTTATTTTCATGCTGTTCATTTCCAACTCTTGCTTCTAGGGATTTTTTAATGAAGAAATAAGAAATGGGGCTCAAGGCTGCTGTGCACATGAATGTGACCCCCTCTACCTCCTAGAATCCTTAGTGAAACTTGGAAGTCACTCCATGCTACTGTGAGGGTGGAATCCAAGATCCAGAGGACAATCTCCACTGGGGATGACCCAAAAATGACTTAGTGGATGTCCTCATTAACTAAATATTGGCCATACTTCTGGAGGAAATTTTGGAAGAAAAAGTAGGATTTTAATTCATCCTAACAACCCAACCAGTTTTATAGGCAAAATCCTGGACCCCTGCCCATATACAAAAAGTCTAAATTTGTTACACTCAAGTACCCACCAAGTGAGCTCGTACTCCACCAACCAACCAACCAACCAATCAACCTTACTGTGTCCAGCAGCACCCTATTCCCACTGACCAGAATAAGGTCTCTCCATTCTCTAAATGCTGCTCATGGGTAAGACCAGATGACTCCTCCCCCTTGTCTCCTTTCCCTTCTCTGCACACCTTAAGTGGGTGTCTCACCACTAATTTCAGATTCTTCTCTGCTTGTTTCTGATGCAGTAGTATTGAACCTCAATCCCCAAAAGACTATCAACTCTAGAGGGGCTGGAAATGTTTCTAACATTTGATTCCTCTCTCCACTCAGGAACCCTAGCAGTCACTTTGAAAAATACAGACCAATTGCAGTGGCTATACTACTTTTCCATCTCCCCACAATGAATTTAAGACTAGTGAAATGAAAATTCCACTAGACTCCTTTTTTTTTTTTTTTTTTTTTTTAAGAAACAGGGTCTCACTATGTTGCATAGGCTGGCCCTGAAATCCTGGGCTCAAGTGATCCTCCTGCCTCAGCCTTCCAAGTAGCTGGGACTATAGGTTCCTGCCACACCTGGCCAGAATTCTTTTTTTAAATATAAAGATGAAGGTGTAATGTATAGCTGTATTACAGATTCTATTCACAGAGACCATTTTCCACTGGCTGATAGGATCCCTTCCCAGTACTGAGGAGAATTTATACACAAAGCTCCAACCCCCTCTCCCACTCCCACAGATATTAACATATTTACCTAAAAGTCCTTTAAAAATTGTCACTTGGGATGCAAATGTTTGTTTCTTTTTCTAACAACTGGAGTGTCTATACACCTGAACACAGAAGCATAATATAGTCTACCACAGTCCTTTGACAAGAACTTAAATTTACTGAAATTGATGGGTTATTGTGCAGAAAAAGGAAGAGAGAAACTTTTCACCTAAGTCCGAGGAATGAGGTGAAGAACAATAGAGACAGCTCACAGGGAGAATGGCTTCGCTACAGGCAGGATTGAGCAGCACTTTGAAATCTTCCACCATCCCCAACCCATGCTGTCTCCAGCTTGGTGTATGCTTTCATTTATCCAGGGATCAGTAGCCAGGGGGGGAAAAGTTTCATTCTCCAGCTGTTGTGTCATTTCCCTTGATAAGTCCTAAATTGACCGCGTTATCCTGCACCAAAGGAGCCTTCCTGTGGTAGACATTTTTTATTATGTGCCCTTTCAGGGGACAAAGGCAGCTGTGTCAGTAAACTGCTATGGGGGAAAAAAAGATAATATTATTCTCACAGCTTCATAAGCATGCTTTTCTGAGGGGCTAATGTGAATGTAAGAAATTAGGCAACATTATCATCTGTTAGCCTGGCTGCATGGCGACCAGGTAAAGGAAAAACACAAAATACTATTTTCTTCAAGGGCAATTTTTAGCACTTAAAGATCCCAATTAAGACACTTCAAATGGAAACCTTTACATGTCTATATTTTTTGCACAATATTTGAACATATTTATGGGCTAAATGGAGTTACAATCACCCTAGTAAATGCCTCCCTGCACTATTATTTATTAATCCCTAAGAAACATGTTTCTGTGTGGTGGAAGTGGCAGTGTGAGCCGGATGTGGCTTTATCCAGGATAAAAACATCACGAAGGATGATTTGTAGAGGTGTAATGAGTTGAGTTTGGGAGACAAAGAAAACATTCTGGGATGTTGGATTCCCCACCATTCTGCTGTTAGAGCCACTTTCTTATATACCCTAACAAACAGATATTACTCGGTTGCGTGTTGACGTATTGATCCTATTTTTAAAAACATCTCCACAGATCCTCAAACCGCAGCGGGTGAGGTGGATGGGGTTAATCTGGAAGAGATTCGAGAATTTGCCAAAGCTTTTAAAATCCGGCGCCTGTCCCTTGGCCTGACCCAGACTCAGGTGGGACAAGCTCTCAGTGCTACAGAGGGCCCCGCGTACAGCCAGTCGGCCATCTGCAGGTAACCCGCGCCGCATGTTGTCACCTGTCCTGGCCGGCCTGGGCCCCTTGCCCTTGCGGCTCAGCTTTTCATCTCCGGGTGGGCAAAGCTGGAGGGGCAGAGTGTGGGAACAAAGTTTGGGGTAGTTATATGTTGGGATTGGTGCTGTTGATGCAAATAAGTATGCTAAAGCAGATTGGAGGGGTTCTGGCTTAATAACTCCTGTCAACTCACAAAGAACTTCCAAGGCGGTCTCATTGAAAATATACTACCCCAGCCCAGGAGCCTTCCTTCTGGGCCCTTGCTCCAGTGCATGAGAGCCACTGACTCCTGTCTGCGCAGAGTATCCTGAGCAAATGTTGTAAAGCTGCCACAACTTCTGTCTAGAGGTGGTTATCAGGATTTTCCAAGAAAATATACATCTTTTAAAAATATATTTTTTAACCATCTTGTGACCTTGAAGGAATTTGTTTACTTGCCTTCCTAGACATATCTTTTAAAGCACATTTTAAAAAAAAAAAAAAAGAAGAAGAAGCAGCAGCAGCTGCTTTAAATGGCTCAGAAAAGGGTAGTAAGAATCTGGCCTGATGGTGCCCATCCCCCACCAAAAATAAATAAATAAATAAATGGCAGAATCCAGCCTTGGTTGTGTTCAAGTTGATCTGGGTTAAGTCGTCAGAAGCAGACCCCATGCATGCATGTGTGTGTTGCACTAATCCCATGTTTATGCATGAGGTAACAAAGGCACTTCGGTAAGAGCTTTTTCCTCTTGGGCAATGCCTTATGAGTCCTCCTCCATCAGGAAAAGCCAAGAAACCAACTCTAAACTCATTTAAGTGGATTTTGTTCTTGGTGATCCATGAAATGCTGTCTTTTTATCTGCTCTTTATACTTTTAATGTATTCCCCAAAGGACGGAAGTGTACTTTTCCTGCAGTTTAAGACTAAGGTTATAAATAACATCAGTATGGGGTAGTAGCTTGCAGCTCACATTTTGCTCAATGATTTTCCATAAAACCCATTGATTGTTGTTAAATACAAAAAGCACCATAGGATCCTCTCACTTCTATGGTCTCCCCTACTGTTTTTTCTTATAAGATACCTCCCTGTAGAAAATAACCTTTATTCAGTCTATACAAGGATACTACTGCTGGGAAATTTGTTTCAAGGCTTGTATATGTTATTCCAAACAACATGTACAGAAGCATCAACACTAACAAGCAGCATCAATGATATGAATACTGTTGCTCCCTGTTGGGAAACATTAATTTTGTTTCATCTTGACAGCCTTATGATAAAGGCAGCCACAGGTTTTCAAGTTGTTGCCAATTTGCTATTGTTGCTAAATTCTTCTTTGGCTTATTTTTAGCCCTAAAATGTGATTTCCTTTTATTGATTAAAGTGCTGTCTAATGTTTGAACTCACACACCTAGTGTTTCCTGGGCATTCCCAATCAAATATGCTGATTTCTAAAGTCTTCCAAGAGCAGAGCACACACACATACACTCACACTCACACACACACACACACACACAAAAAAAAAAACTGGAATGCAGAAACCTTCGCAATTTTTAGTATTGTACAGGGCAGGTCAGATACCTTTCTCCAGCTTCAGCCTCCTGTTTCTCAGTGAGGTCATTTTAGGAGCTACCAAGAACAAATAAAGAAAAGTCTTGAAAAAAATCAAGATCTTACACTGGAACAATTTCAGTGAATTCAAAGGGTGGAAGGGATGTGCACCAGAGCCTGCACATTCAGGCAACATTTCTGCCTAATTAGCTGCAGTGACTCCCAGGTGCTACCTCTAGTCCCTCCTTATCAGAAGCACAGAGAATAAGATGCCTCCAATACACTGAACATTCCTGTCACAAGCTCCATCCCCCTGGTGCCATGATGCAGTAAAGCTTATTGTAATGCTATCAAGAGTTCAAGCTTTGGGCTTTTATGGTTAACTGGTAAATAAGGCCAAAATGAAGTATAGGCTGATTATCAACAATGGGAGCTGTTTGTCACCAGTGACAAGCTCATTACACGATGCTAAATACTTAGTTCACTTTGTATTGAAAACAAATATACTTCTTCCCTCCTTGACCTGTACAGGGAAGTTTGATTTTTTCAAAAATAAATACGTTCTTGAATTTTTCAGGGAAGGGAATGCCATGGAAATTGCATTAAAATTTGATACTATTTGTGCTGCTGTCATAATGTAAGAGATCTAAAAATATATTGCCAAAAATGAGATTATGGCACATAAGGGAAGCCTATCCTTTATTGTCATTTTGCAAGCATCCTCATAAAACATGTTGTGACTAAGGCAGGTTCATTTCAGCTCTATGAGAACAGACTGTTATAATAAGGTGCACTCTGCAGTCAGACTGTTGTATCTCAACAGCATAGAACACTTTAAAAGACAGGGGAATTCTATGTACCCTAAGTTGTTAATACTGCAGGGTTGTAAATTTGGATTTAGAATCAACAAACAAATGAATAAGAAGAACTGGTACTTTTTTGTTTTTCATTGAGAGTGAGTATGGATTTGGTACCAGGATGACCTCTTAAAACACTCTATATAATTTTGTTCAGGATGCTTCATATTTTTTAAAGTCAATGTAGCAAAGAATTGCTGATGGCAATTGACATATAGAAGACCTCATTTACAGAAAATGATATCATTCAAGTACAGTTTGCAGATATCGCACATTAAACACAGCTTGATACCCTGGTGCAAAAGAACACCATTACGCTGGACAGTGATTGGAAGGCATGAGGTGGCCTTAGCACATCCAGGATGGGGTATTCCATAGTAATTACAATGTGTCCAGCTGTTTGAGCCAGAACTGTAAAGTAGCAACTGGGCTATATTTTACCTGGAAAGGGGGCATGTTGTTAACTTACATATGGTGAAAATTGTTACCAAAGAGTGGGGGGGGGGCAGGGGCAAGAGAGAAGTTAAAATGAGACACAAAAGAACAATAAAAAAAAAATAGAGCCATAAAAAAGAACTTACCCCAGTTGTCATAACTATGCTAATAGCTATAATATTTTCATAACCCAGATAACTGGGAAGAATTTAAAGAAAACCAAATGTAAATCATAATCATTTTAAATGAAAGACATGACAACTGTTTTTCTGGATGTCATTTCGTAGGATTAATTTTTGCCTTAAGAAGTCTGAGATTGGGGAAGACAAGCTGGTGCAACTGAAACAGAAGCTTAGATCTCAGAGTCTAGAGGGAAGCCTGGGAGTTGTTTGTGTTCCCCTTGTGCTGGCGCGGGTGTCCTGCGGTCTCTGCTTCTCCCTGGCCCTAGTCTGTGTGCGCGGCGTGTGGTTTGCATGCACTGGCATGGAGCACGCTGGGAGGGTGGGCGCTGGCTTGGGTGGGGCTGGCTACCTTGCTGCTGGCTGTTAATCTGGAGTGAATTCGCCCTGCCAGGCAGTCAGGCAGGCAGGCAGGAAGCCCACCCTGGCAGAGGACTCAGTGTAAGACTGTTCTTTCTCAATTCTCCCCCCAGACACACCATCCTGAGAAGCCACTTTTTCCTACCACAGGAAGCCCAAGAGAACACTATAGCTAGCAGTCTGACAGCCAAACTGAACCCTGGCCTTTTGTATCCTGCCAGGTTTGAAAAGCTGGACATCACCCCTAAAAGTGCCCAGAAGATCAAGCCGGTGCTTGAGCGGTGGATGGCTGAGGCTGAGGCCCGCCATCGAGCAGGTATGCAGAACCTGACCGAGTTTATCGGGAGTGAACCGTCCAAAAAGCGCAAGCGGCGCACCTCCTTCACACCCCAGGCCCTTGAGATCCTCAATGCCCACTTTGAGAAGAACACACACCCCTCTGGGCAGGAAATGACCGAAATTGCTGAGAAGCTGAACTATGACCGAGAAGTAGTTAGAGTTTGGTTCTGCAATAAGAGGCAAGCCCTGAAGAATACAATTAAACGCTTAAAACAGCACGAGCCCACCACAGCAGTCCCTCTGGAACCCCTAACAGACTCTCTGGAAGAAAACTCCTAAAGAGACGTCCACCCATAATCAGAGGCAAAAATCCACAGAAACGAAACCCCACCTTTGGGACTCCACCAAAAAAAAGAAAGAAAAGAAAAAGAAAAAAAAAAGAAAAGAAAAGGAAAAAAAAAGATAAGAAAGGAAAAAGATGAAGATGAAAGAAAATCAAAATTAAATTTAACAGCACCCCAGTCACCATCACCATTGTATGTAAAAGACTAAGAAAACTACCAAGTGGACAGAATGGTTTCTATGTGTCCATTGGTTTTCCAAAAAAGAAAAAAAAAAAAAGAAAATTTTTTGAAAATTTTTAAACAAAGAATACACCACACGGAAGGTGTGTGTGGTAGGATAGTTCCCATCCCCCACCTGTCTCCCCCCCCAAGCCAGTTTTTTAAAACAAACCAAATAACCACATACTTTTTGCTGTGTATTATGAAAATGTGAACACGTTTTAAGGAAAAAAAGAAAAACAAAACTAAACCAAAAAAAAAAAAACGACAACAAAAACTTGTATCTGTTCAAAGCGAATACAAGCCTGCCACCTGGAGGAGGGCTACATCCTTTCAGGTACCAAGTGCTGATTCACTATGAAACCTATTAACCAAAGTCAGAAACAAGGCATTGCAAACGCGCGATCGTTGTCTACTCTTCTCTGCGTGTAAAGTTGTGTTAACGGATTTTTACATTTGTACTAACAGAAAAGTAGGAAGCCTGATTTCTCCCATCTTTCCCATTTATTGTCTCCACCAACGGGGTGGGTACCATTGTTGAAGCCATTCTGTGAGGCTCACTATCGGTTTGTTTTTCGGGAGGGGAGGTAGGGACTTTTTTTTTTCTGGGTGTTTTTATGTTCCTTTGTTTGTTTGTTTAAGGGGGGCATCCTGGATCGTGTGCCAAAGCATTTGTTGCTTTCTTCTCACTATGACTTGTGGGTTTGAGAAAAGAAAATGGAGCTCGCATTTCCCTTTCTTCCTCCATTTCTCCATCTCCAAGGTCTCTGGGGGTCTGCTGGAAGGCCCCAGAAGTGGGGAAGAACCGTGTCTTTTCCACTGAGATCCTACTGAAATGTAGGAGAGACTCCAGAATAACTAGGGCTTTGCTCGATGAACTGTCAACACTGGCATAAGCTGTAATTGTGCTCACTGTCCACACCAGAGCTTGGGATTTTTCTCAGTCTGTTGGCCACGTATATGGAGAGCTGACCAAAACTAATTTTGTAATATAAACATAAGCTGCACATTTGGTTCAATACTTACATCTATGTTATGCTTCTGTGCAAAGCAATTTCTCTCAGAAGTCTGATAGCCAAAGAAATGTCTCAAGGTTTCAGTCAAAGTACACACAGGCATGAACACACCCCTATGCACCCACACAAAGAAACAGGCCACAAAGAAAGTGATAGCGACCAAATCTTTGTTAAGGGCCATCGGGTATCTGGTTAATCTCATCTTCTCTGCTATCTCTTTCATCAAGTCTGTGATGGCAGACTTGTGGGGGGAAGCGACTGTTCTTTGGATAGATAAACAGAGCAGAAAAGTAACAGGTGAATTTGAACAATTGGATTGGGGGCTGACTCTTGAGGAGGAAGGAAGTTTTAAGTGTCTCCATCAAAAGAAAAATATAGAGAAGTAGCTCATATGACACATCAGAATAGCTTTCACTATTAGAACTAGAGGATTAGTTCATTTTTAAAAATAACTTGCTCAAGAGATTCTGAGGGCCATGATACCCTAAGAAGCCCAAAGAATGTGCTGAGAAGTGAGGAGGGCTATGCAGCTGAACACTTGGAACCTGCAACTAATATTTGCGCCAAGGTGTATGTAGGTGTTCTGTCAAAGAAGCACACAAAAGAGAACTGTGAATTTGCCTGCAGTCAAAATGTAAATATTTATGAGTGACTCATTAATAATCATGTTCATGTACTATCTAGAGGTAAATTGTGGGAGGGAAAAAGAGAAACCCCACCTCAAATTGACCAATGAATTAGAAACACCATCTCCTTCCTCAAATGCACTCCCTTCCCCTAGGGGTTTCTAGTTTCTTCCGTGGGCTCCTTTATTGTCATGTAACTGGGACAGTATAATTGTCCCCCTCAGATGATTCATGCAGCAGTCAGAAAACTACCAACAAAGAGAAAAAAATCCTGAAATTGGAACTAGTTGCTAGTAAAGGTGTTTCCATTTCACCAGTCTGATGCTAATTGGACCACAACTAGCCTGTTCCATGCCAACAACATCATGGTACCCATTTCACCACCTCAAAAACTGCACAAATACCAACAACACAGAAACCCAAAACTTTATTGATTAAAACAGATTTTGTATTCTCCTAGGACCTGTTCCAAATTCCATCAAGAAAAGCTCCCCAAGAAGAGAAGTTAACAAGATAACATATGACGGATGTTAAATGTTTAAAAATATGCCGGCAGCAGTTACATAAGGCCTGCTCAGTTCTGAGATCTATAATTGGGAGGGTATAACTAGGACAGTGAAAATATAAAATAACAGTGATCATCCGGAGTAGAACAAAGAAGAAATACATTCATCCCACAGTCGTAAAACCATTCATGTGCAGTGATTTTTTTTATAGTTTTATAATTTTGTATTGTTTTATAAATTATTTATAAGGTGTTGTAATGCTTCTTATATTAATTTTTTACAGATAAATTTTTTGCTACAAGGCATAAAAAAAGGTGCCTGAACAGATTCTTAGAAATATAAATTATACTGTGTAACTCATAAGTCTTCGGGACCATACTTATTGTTTAATTTTATTATGACATTTCTTATTTCCACTTGTAAACAACTTCATACACCAATAACATTTAAATGTCTTTTATGTTTCCATGAACTGAAGGTTAAGGTTGTCACCAACAAAAAAAAAATAAAAGCCACTTTGGGCATATGTGATTGTACTTCAAGCTTCAATATTTTTCTCACATATGTTTAAATTATTGTCATCTTCATTTTCTTCATTATTTGATGAAAAAAATGACAATGGATACTATATTTTATACTTGTTTGTGGGGTTTTTTTTTCTCTTTCACCCAAAAAAAAATTTTTTTTTTGAACAGCTGAAGTTTCACTTGTATTTACAAGGTTTTGGTTTCTTTGTGTTATAATCACACAGTACACACACAACACACACAACACAACACAAAAGAGAGAACAAAAAAAAAGCAAAAGGAGCTAGGAAAAAAAACAAAACAAAACAAAACAAGTAGAGGCATATCAAAGAACTCAAGCTATAACCAAAAAGAAATCGTAAATTGCCTTTGCTCGTCTTCTCTACGCTGGACCAAAGTTCAATATTTGTAGGTATATGCACATTGTATAGATACGGCTAAATGTTGCTGACAATCTCGCAATACTAAACTGTTCCTATTTTAAGAAAAAAAAATACAAACTGTTCATCAATGTTTTACCTCAGCACTCTACTTGTACCCAGTTAATGATCAAGCTTAACAAAAAAATGGAGAAAAAGAAAATTGATTTTCATTTTCATGTTTGACTGTAAAAATCTGTTTGGATAACATTTTGTAATGAGCTTTTTGTCATGTGATTTGCTCGTCTTCAACTTGAAATTATGTGAGGCACATATGTTTATTTGTTATTAAGAAAATGATTTTTTTTCTTTTTTTTTTTTTTTTTTTCCTTTTTTTTGTCCTATGTGCTGTGATCTAGACTGGTCACCAGGGTCACTTATGAGGCACCGCAAAGAGATCTGCTTCTCCATGCCTGGAGCAGGCAGCAGGAGGGAGGGCAGGGAAACAGACTGGGTTGTTCTGGGAAAATCATCATGACGAGAACTTGACATGATAGACTTGTGACCAAGAAGCCAAACTGGATATTTAAAAGCTCCTTACTTGCTCTGACATTGAAACCAAAGCTGATTTATCTGCACAGGTTGCTTAATGTTTAAAAAAAAAAAAAAAACTGTACTTAATCTAGAGCAATATCTGTATGGTCGGTAAAGCTGCACTTTGTGTATTTCTTAACAGCTTCAGATCTGTCACTTTTAATTTGTACCATAAAAAATAAAGAATTGTTTGACATGAGCTTCTAGGCTAAATGTGTCTTGCAGTCAAATATGTCACTTAAATTATAAGAATTTACATAAGCATACATTACAACCCCAAGTGTTAAGAAAAGGAAGGGGTTCGAGGCAGATTGGTTAATATCATGATTATTTTATTTCTGCAAAATAAATGCCACATTCATCGAGATTCCTTTGGTTGCAAGTTATAAAAATTCAACTCAAACTCATATAAATGACAAGATACTGTGTTGTTGGACTTAATGGGAAGTCCTCTTGTGGATATCAGCACAGCTGGATACAAAGACTTAAAGAATATCATCAGCCTGTCCCTCTTGGCTTCCTTCTCAGAAAGATTCTCTACCCATCGACCCCAGGGCTTTGAGTCATGCCTTTTGAGTCTGTCTCTAGACTAAGCAGCAATGCTGGGGGACAGTGCACTAAAGTCAGCCTCAATCCTGTCTGTGGTGGGGCTGGGTCTCATGATGACCATACTACAGGACCAAAAGGATTGACAGAGAAGTCACCATAAGAACCAGAAGACAGAAGATGAGACATGATAGTGGGCAGATAAAAAACAGTGCCACCACAGTCTGTTGCTAACACCCAGCTGAGTGCCTGGTATGGCAGAGTTCTGCAGCTTTTAAGTGATCTCTGTAATTGCATATTCTGGAAAATTCTGGCATTTAGAATATGCTCCTGTTTGAAGTTTAATGTGGGTAGGAGAAGTGAGTTAATGTTGTTATATAATTTACTAATTCAAAACATCTTGCTAAAAATAACAGTAAAAAACCTAACATTTAGAATCACAATCTCTATACTTTTAGTGATCTTTAGTAGACATTTCCTATGCTACATGGGGATCTATATATCAACTTCATGTTATGATTAATAAGATGTGCTTTGGGGCAATAAACAGAACCCAAAATCTGACTGTCCATGCATTATAGATGGGCAAAGTGGGCAGGAAGCTCCAAGATGACTTTAATAGGAGCAAAACATATTGATGCTTCTGCCTTCATGGGTGGGGAAAAGACTAGAGAAAGTCATTTTTGAGCATTCTTTCTATATAAAATATTCTGGGCAAAGGTCCTACATGTGATTACACCCATTATGTATACGTAAGACTAACATGTCTTCTTTAAAAAGACAGTGGTCATTTAAATTTAATCCTTCCATATTCCACGAATATCTGCTAAGTACTTTCTATGTACCAGAAAATTCTATGTGTTCAAGACTCAGAAATAATTAGAATTTTTGCCTTCAAGAAACTTATCCTCATCGTACAAAAAACAATTTTTCTCAAAAATTAAAAACATCCCATGTTTCTTAAACTTTAATACTTCACAAAAATAAATTTCAAAATTAAAATAATGAAAAACTGTCCTGAGGCTGACTCCAGAAACAGAAAATGTGTAGAAATAGCACAGGCTTAGAAAAAAACCACCAGAATCTCTTTCAAATGATATAAAATACTGTTCTGATAATAATCTAATAAACCAACTGTATACCCACAGTATATTTAGGGGCATATGTAACAAGACAATGGTTGAGTTTGATCAAAAGTCTTTAGTTGGAAAGAGTCCAGAAGCTATGTGTCACCACATATAGATAAAACTTGTCACTAACAAACAGGAATCAGTCTGGCTCCTTGTTGTTCTGCCCTCTGAAAGGAGCATCCATTTGGCTTATCTTCTACACACTGAGGAAGGCCATGATCAAGGGAAAATGATGACACCTAGATTTTTAGTATATTGGATGAAAATCTTTCTAAAACAGAAGAAATATTTCCATGTTTTCTTAAAGAAGATCATGAATATAATTTTACCCTCATTTTTATTTGTTCTAATTAGTTATATATCACAGTAGAATGCATATGACACATCATACATAAGTGGAGTATAACTTCTCACTCTTCTGGTTGTACATGATGTAGGATCACACAGGTCATGTAGTTATATATGCACATAGGGTCATAATATCCAATTCATTTCCTTATCTTTCCTACCCCCAAACTCCCTCCCCTCCCTTCACTCCCCTCTGCCTAATCCAAACTACCTCTATTCTTTCCTAGCCATCCACCTTATTATGAATTAGCATCTGCATATTACAGAAAACATTTGGCCTTTGGTTTGGGGGGATTGGCTTATTTCACTTAGCATGATATTTTCCAGCTCCATCATTTACCATCAAATGTCATGATTTCATTCTTCATTAAACTGAGTAATATTCCATTGCGTATAGTACCACATTTTCTTTATCCATTCTGTCTGTGGTGGGGCTGGGTCTCATGATGACCATACTACAGGACCAAAAGGATTGAAGGGCACCTAGGTTGGTTCCATAATTGAGCTACTGTGAATTGAGCTGCTATAAACATCAATGTGGCTGTGTCACTGTAGTATGCTGATTTTAAGTCCTTTGGGCATAAACCAAGGAGTGGGATAGCTGGGTCAAATGGTGATTCAATTCCAAGTTTTCTGAGGAAACTCCATACTGCTTTGCAAAGCGGTTGCATCAAATTGCAGTCCCACCAGCGATGGGACTAAATGAGCCTAAATTTTTCCCCACATCCTCGCCAACATTTATTGTTGCTTGTATTCCTGATATAATTGCCATTCTGGTAAATGGGATGGATTTAAACTAAAAAGCTTCTTCTCAGCAAAGAAAACAATCAGTAATATGAAGAGAGAGCCTACAGAATGGGAGAAAATCTTTACCATATGCACCTCAGATAAGCATTAATTTCTAGGATGTATAAAGAGCTCAAATAACTTAACACTAAAAAAAAACCAGATAACCCAATCAATAAATGGGCTAAGGAACTGAAAAAAAAACACTTCAAAAAGAAGAAATGCAACTGATCAACAAATATATGAAAAAACGTTCAACATCTCTAGCAATTTGCCCTCTTTCAAGAGGCCTATCTCCTTCTGTTTGCTTTATCCTTGTTAACAAATAGATATTAGCCATCCAAAAAAGAAGTCCAAGAGTCATGCCAAGCCTTGTATATCCATATGTACACACACCACATGCACATATGCACATCACACACACACACACACACACATACACACACAAACACACACACACACACATGTGCATGCACCAAGTCACCCAAAATCCTAGAATTCTGCCTCCTGAATTCCTTTGGAATCTGTCTCCTTGTCTCTATCCCCCACTGCTAATACTTAGTGCAGCTGCCTTTCGCCCAGATTGCTATAGTACGTTCTTCCTGGTCTCCTCACCTGTCATATATTTGCCACCAGAGAAGTCATTCTAAAAAGCCAGTATGAATGTTATTTCTCTTTTGTTGAAAATCTTTCCAATGCTTACCATTGCCTTCAGGGTAAAGGAAGGAGCCCAGCACAGCCCACAGTGCCCTTCATGACCTAATCCATGCTTATTCTTCAGTTTGATCTCTCATCAGTTCTCGGTTTATACAGTTGTGTCCTAACCCCACCAAACTTACTAAAATTTCTTCAATGGTGCTCTGCCTAGAATATCCACTGACAGTATAGAGGATTGATGTCTGAATGACCTATGAACCTGACTTGCCAATAACTGCAATGTATTTGGTAATATATTTTTTAACTAGCTTCATTTGTATGTGGCACATCTTCATTATCTAATACGAGCAATAGTAATCTCCTATTTGTATAATTTTCTAAGCAAACTCGAATACAATATTTTATCTGCTCCTTACATAAGCCAGTAGAAGTGTGACAATTCTTATTTTATAGATGAGAACTAAGAATCATAAAAGTTAAAAAGTCTTGACCAAGATCCAAGAGTTCATAGGTAGAGCTGGCACTTGAATACATTAGAAGTTAGAGCACTTAGTACTGCAAGTATAGAGTGAATGAATGGCAGCGAAATGGTTTCTGATACCACCATGTCTTTGAATAACCAGTGAAAAGTTCAAACTCCAATATACAGTAGCAATCTAGGAAAAGCTTACTGTTATGGATGATAAATTCCAATTCTCTAATTACCAAGTCCATTATGACTTAAGTGAATTTTACCCAAATTATTAGTGTTTGGCAGAAATAGTAAAAGATACATAAAAGAAAATTAGGGATTACTAATTATGTGGTTTCATTTCATTATCACTGCAATTTAGGGCCTAAGAATACAAAGAGTTCCAATCATTCTGAAGGCAAAAGAATTTAAAACCAATTGAAAAGTGGGAGACAGTCAGTGAATACTAGATGTAATTTGATGAATCCTGCTTGCCAGTGAGTAACATGCAATAAGTGGAAATGGGAAGCTGGCCTGGAACCTCGTCCACTCAGAACCTTCCCTGATATTCTCATGCCACTTTTAAGAACTGTAGTTGTTCTGCTGATGGTGAAGAACTTGTAACTTTACCAGATCTGCTGAGATGGTCATTTGGGAACAAATCATACTCTTCCCACTGCCTTATCTGTTCTACAAGGGTGGGAACTGTGTCAAAGTATCTGTATACATTCATGGGCTCTGTTCTTAAATTACTGGGACATCATCTTTGAAAGAGGGGATGTTTCCAGGGGGGGTCCCATTTGTGCATACACAATGGTTAGAGAGCTAGTATAACTAAACAGATCCAGAGCTACAGTAGTTCCAAAACCTGAACCTCAAAGAGGAGAAAAAACACGTGCAATGACAGTTGTTATGAAAGCCATCTGATTAAGATGCTGGCTAGATAAACTCAGGAAAGAGACCATGGATACTGTTCTCATTTCTAAACTTTGCACTATTAGCCGAGATCTGTCGTCCACCTAGACATGCTACTAATATATGTTCTCAGAGGGGAAGATTCACTGAGACTTGCTTACATTTAGACTGACTAAACTCCTTAATGAATGCATCATTGAAATGGATCACTGGGCCTCAGCAAGTCCATGTTGGATCTTTGGATCTGGTAACTCCTTGGGCCACATCTATGATGTCAGTTGAAGGAAAACATATCCATTGAGGAATATTTTTACTTGTTTTTCCTGCTAGGTTTATTGTTGTTGATAGCTTTGATTATACAAGTAA